ACCTATGCTATATGATAGACTTTTCTAGGAAAACAATTATATCCTCTCAAGATCCTTTTTACTATTTTTAAAATGTGTAATCTGTACTGTATTTTGATAGACCAGGTAAAAGGAAATTAAGTAATTTTCCAAAAGTCACAGAACAAGCCAGAATATAAACCAAAGTGTTTTTCCAAGGCTCAAGTAAGCAAAGGAATGCACAGACATCGTTTAGCATATTCTTACCTAGTGAGCCTTCCCGACAAGGATATCATGCTGCTACTGAAAATGTAATGTTTGGACTGGATTCATCTGCGTCGCCTAGAAGTTGGTCAGAAATGCAGAAACCCAGGCCTCATGCAGCCCTACTGAGTCAGAATCTGCAGATTAATGGGACTCCCCAGGCCATGCAGGTGCACGTTCAAGTTTGAAGAGCAGAGGCATAGCATACGTGGACCTTGGTAAGAGACATGCATTATGGATCACAACATCCGTTATTTCCTAATTTGCTCATCATGGACAAGATAATTTTTGTAAATTCTAGTTTTCTCATAAGTGATAGAGTTAATGATACCTCTGCTTCTGCACTGGTAAAAAGTTTAAATGAAAAATACAAGAACTAAGTCTGACTTACCCATAAAAATTGTGCAATACTTTTTCTGTCAATAATCTCAATAACTGACAGATATTATATATATTTCATATATTTCATAAGTTGATATATAGTTCATAGAGTGCTCTTTAAATTGTTTAACATAGTTTATGCTTCTGATAGGCTTAGAATTTCTGAAAAGAATATACCCCTTCTTTTACAATAATTAATTATATCGTGGAGCAAAACGTTGAAATGCCAATAAAAACTTGTATCTCCTTCTCTCTTGTGACTTTAGCCTCTTCCCGACCCTTGTGTGCACATGAGGCACTGCCAGCCTCCTGAGATGGTGCAGGAGGCCAGCCAAGAAAATGCAGCGATTCCAAAGTTTAGGCCCTGATGGGCTTGAGGCAGAAACAATAAACTTAAAGAAACAGAATCAAGCCGGGCTCGGTGGCTCAACCTGTAATCCCGTGCCTTTGGGAGGCTGAGGTGAGTGGATTGCCTGAGCCCGCGGATTCGAGACCCACCTGGGCAGTGAGACTTCATCTCTACAATAAATCAAAAAAATCAGCCGGGCGTGGTAGTGCATGCCTGTAATTCCAGCTACTTGGAAGGCTGAGGCGGAAGGATCGCCGGAGCCCAGCAGGTTGAGGCTGCGGTGGCCGGGAGCAGTCACTGCACTCCAGTCTGGGTGACAGAGTGAGACTCCAACTCAAAAAAAAAAAAAAGAAAAGAAACAGAATCAAACTGATGAAGCAGAGCAGAGTACAGTAGGTTCCTTACACATAAAAAAGTTCTGTTCCAAGAGGGAGCTTAAGTTCCAAGAGGGCAGTTGGCTACATACTACTGTACTGTAACAGGTTTACAATACTTTTCACACAAATAACGCAAAAAAACCAAACACACATGCAAAATAAATAGTTTAATCTTGCAATACAGTACCTTGAGAAGGATAGTTGTACAGTACAACAGCTGGTACACAGGGGCTGTGTATACCCCAGACATGTGAACTAACTTACATGATTGAACACATAAACACACGTTTGCATCTTTAAAAGTACACAACTTGAAGGTTTGTATGTAGGAGACTTGCTGTATAGATTCTGAGCTTTTGGATTCCACCAACCAGTATAGTTTCAAAAAAAAAAAGTGGGAAAACAAAAAGAGGTATATTAGTCAGGATTCTCCAGAGAAACAGAGGAAGGGTGGAGGGAGAAAGAGATTTATTATAAGGCACTGGCTCACGTGACTGTGGAGGCTGATGCCTGAGGCCTGTGGTCAGCAAGCTGGAGGCCCAGAAGACCAGATGGTGTTATTCCAATCCAGGGACTGACAGCCTCGAGACCCAGGAAGAGCCAGTGTTTTGGTTCAAGTCCAAAGACAGGAAAGAAGGCAACGTCCCAGCATATACTAGGTAAGGCAGAAGGATTTCCCTCTTACTCAGCATTTCTGTTCTATTCAGGTCTTCAACTGACTGGATGAGGCACATCCACATCAGGAGGACAATCTGCTTTACTCAGTCTATGGATTTAAATGTTAAACCTCATCCAAAAACACCTTCATGGAAAGCTCTGACCACATATCTGGGCAGCTCATACCCTAGTCAAGGTGACACATAAAATTCGCCATCACAAATGGTTAACTTTTTGTTTTGTCAGGTAAGGACACTGCAATTATCATTACTTTATAAAAGAGGCATATTCATGACATTGAAAAAGACTTACAAAGAATACAATTTTAAAACAAATTACAAATAGAATCAAATCTGGCTGTATAAAAATCACATTATCCTTAATTTTTTCACTTTGCTGTGGACCAAAGAAAACTGCCAGGATGAAATGTGTCAGCACGTTGTGGTTTGGAGCACATTTGGACCGGGCCGATGTCAGAGAGCCCGGGGAGAACACGAAGGCTGCTGGGACTGGGGTGATGTGCACAGGACTTGATCTTCTTTCTGGTTTGGAGGCCACTCGGCTGGTCAGAGAGACTGCAGGGGAGAACATGAAGAGAGGCCTCTACTGGGTCCAGGACTTGATTTTCTGGTTGTGCCAGGGAGAATACAGAAGGAGGGACCCACAGACGACAGACGGTTTCTCCTCTGAGTGTGTGTCTTTCTTATGTGACAAAGGCTGACACATAACATCAGGGTCTGGTTCTGAAAAGCCACGATTCTAGGCTGATTCAAAAGTGGTTGGAGATATGTGGAAAAGGAGACAGATTTGAGGCATATGGTGGTTAGGGGGTGGAATTCCATATGGAGGGAAGGGCTTACCGGGTTTGAACTGCCTTCCTGTCGGTGCCAAGGAAGGGAGCCCTTGGGATTTCTAAGCAGCTTGCCCAGATGTGGGGCAGAATGGGATGAGGGAGGGTAAGACACAGTTGTCAGCGTTCAAACATCAAAAAGAGTCAAGCATGTTATCACAAACAGTTTAAAAAGTATACATGGCAGTATTTAACTCATTTGTAACCACTGACATGAAGTCACGTCATTTCAAATTCTGTTCCTGGTTGCCACTGATGTGCATTTCTGTCTTTGCAAATTCTGTTTCTGAATGCTGCAACATTGTCATATATATGTGTTATTACATTTTGCTTGAAAATGAATAGTCAGGGAAGGGGAGAGAAAGTTAATTGAGACTATTATCTGATATCAACTGTACAATGTTGTTATTGATTTACATAGCTGGTCAAAATTACAAGTTGGTCATTATTCTGTGCAATTGGTGTTGGATACTTGTATTTTGATATTTCAGGGCTTTCATACTTCAATGTTAAAAATATTTACCATAATTATGGATAATGAAAAAACATATGCTGATGAGATTTCTGAGGTCGCAGTGAACTTACTAGTAATAGACAGATAGTGATGCAATGATGCAATGTAAATGAAGAACTATAAAACAGATAATCTATGACAGTGAATCTAGTACTGGTGAGAATGAATTAGACATTGAGTGGACAAAATATGATCCAAATAGAAACTCAGAAGTGTTTAGTGATAATCCAGGTGTCAAGGTATTTCCAAAGGATCCTCAGAATGAAAGTGAAGTTGTTGGACTATTTATTGGAGATGATTTTATAGAAATTATTGCAATGGAAACTAACAGGTATTATGACCAGATGCACCACAGATATAAATGTCTAAACAAATCAAAAAAGTGGGGCAATACTACAGTGTCCGAGATGAAAAAATCCCTATCATTAAATATTTTGACAGGACAAGTGAAGAAAATCACAATACATGATTATTAGTCAATACTTCCATCAATGCGACACCATTCTTCTAAAAAATAATGGCACGGAAATAGATTCCTCCAAATGTTTCAGTTTTTACAGTTTTTCAATAATACAGAAATAAAGTTAAATCCAAGCAGATTATGCAAAATTGAACCCGTAATAAATTATGTTTTAAATAAGTTCAATACAGTGTGCAAACCTGAACAAGAACTTTCTTTGGATGAATCCATTGTGGAAGACTGTCTTTTCAGGTTTATAATTCGAATAAAAATACAAAGTATAGAATGCTTGTCAGAGTGGTGTTTGAGGCAAATACTGGATATGTCTGCAACTTTCAGCTGTATTGTGAAAAGGGGGACAATTCGGAAAAGACCATTTCACTTGTGCTTAACAACAGATGTTTATTGCAACTAGCTTCAGATTTTTAAAAAAATTTTCACCTTTTCTCAGTATTAGGGAAGTGAAAAGTTTGCTGGTTGCTAATGTGTTAAGAAAAATGTTTAGTTTTATATTTATATCTGTGTGTATAAATGTGAAGCTCTTGTTTTAGTTAAGCAATTTAAATGCCTAGTTTATTCTGTAATAATACCCAAACTATAAAGTCATGTATGGACTGTAGCATGCATGATCAATACCTTAAATTTCACTGAAGTATAGAGAAATAACTATGTTCATAAATGAGCAAAAATTAAATAACCAACATATTTAGTTTCTTTATAAAGCCATAAAATTAATATGCATCACTTGGTATGATCAATATTACTAGCACATAAGCTCTGAGAATGAATTTTTTTTTATCCCTGTAGACCATAAGCACCTACAACTGTGCTTTGCAAAGGAAAAAACTTAATAAGTGAATGAGAGAATAAACTTGATAATCATTGCATGTCTTAAAAAATAAAAGCTAGAAATGATTTGTGCAATATGTAAAAATGTCAAACAAAAGAATATACTTATTAGTGGGAATATGATTGCATAAGAATATCTAATCAATAACCCAAATAATTTAAACCTATCTTTGAAACTTTTTTCTATTGTGAAAAACAATTACTTAACTTATAACAAACAACTCTCAGTTACCATTAATGTTTAATAACGTTAAATTATTTTTGTATATTTACTTCGAATTCCTAATATCAAATGAAATAGGACTTCACAGAAAATTACGATGAGATAAAAGTGAATGCACAGTATACTTGCTAACATATGCGGAATTCATTTTAGAGTCTGCTTTTCGTAGGTGAACGGCCACAGTCAGCAATTTCATAGTAAACTTTTTATTAAAACAGAGTCTTCACAACATATTTAAAATATGATGTTACACAAATGTTTAAGAAAAAAAAATTCTAGATTGCAATTGTTGGCACACAAATTTAAGAACATAATTAAAATTAAGCTAAATATCTCAGTATCTATATAGATACATATCTATACAGATGGACACATAGAACTCAAAATTCATGTCAATGACCTGCAATTCCTGAGTTTTCAAGTTGTTGGTTTTCCAGATTGTACAAAACATTTTTCATCCACTTTACAAAGGACATGGCAGATTCAGAAATAATAGCTTTGGTTGATAGAGGCTGTCTCCCAAAGGGCAGAAGAAAGTCCTCGACGGGATTAAGATTTGTCTTCAGAAGCTTCTTCCAAGTGAAGGTCAGTCTGAGTTGTAAGGAATGACTCCCACGTGGCAAGGCCCTGACCAATGGAAACACACCATCAGGCAATCAACGACAGCTTACTTTCAGTGTTAAAAAAATAAATCTGGACATATATGCTCCTGTAGCTATCTGCCCTACTCCTCTCTTCCAACAGCTTGTCAGAACCTTTGTCATTTTCTACATATTTTAATTCTTAGTGAGGAACGCTAATGCTAAATACTTAGCTAATGCTGATGCTAAATAAATGCTAAAAAACATACTAAAGGTTATAAGATTAACACAGATTGGCTTGCCAAAATGATATTCTACTACCCCACTGTCAGGAAGAAAATAAAAGTCTTAAGTTATGGAGGACAAGAGGGAGCCACTCGGGTCTGAGAAGCAGGCACTGAGCTTCTAGACAGAGGAATGAGGCCACAGGCACACCCTAGTCAGATGTGAATCAAGTCACCTAATAGTTCAATTGGTAAAACCAGTAGAACAAGAAAAATTATTTAAAGTCAGAGAAAAATAGTATGCTACATCTAGAGGAAGAAAGGTAAGAATTACAGACTATCCCATCTAAAATAACATAAGCAAGAAGATAGATGAGCAACATTTTTATAACAGTGGAGAAAAAATACAAAAAAATACTGGCAACTCAGAATTCTATGCTTAGCAAAAAGATCCTCTCAAAACAAATGAAAATAGAGATGTTTTCAGGCATACAAAAGCTACAAAACCAATAACTAGCAGACCACATGACAAAAAAAATGCTAAAAAAAAAAAAAGTTCATCAGGAAGGGGAAAAAAAAAAACCCAGATAGAAATACAGACCTATATTAAAGGAATGACAAACACTGGATATGATCACAATATGGTTCATATAATAAAAACTTTTCTTATTCAAGTTATCTAAAATATAATTGATGACAATTAAAAATAGTAACAAACCGGGCTCAATGGCTCAGCCTGTAATCCCGCGCCTTTGGGAGGCTGAGGTGAGTGGACTGCCTGAGCCCGCGGGTTCGAGACCTGCCTGGGCAGGGAGACCTCATCTCTACAATAAATCAAAAAGTCAGCCGGGCGTGGTAGCGCATGCCGGTAATTCCGGTTACTTAGAAGACTGAGGAGGAAGGATTGCCGGAGCCCAGCAGTTCGAGGCTGCGGTGGCCGGGAGCGGCCACTGCACTCCAGTCTGGGCGACAGAGTGAGACTCCAACTCAAAAAAAAAAAAAAAAAATAGTAACAAAAGCTTGTGGGGCTAATATGTGTAAGTAAAATGTATGACAAAAATAGCACAAAGGCCAGGTGATGGGAAAGGAAAAGTACAATGATAGGCTCTCATATGATAGCAAATTGCATAATCTATTTGAAGGTAGACTAGGATAAACTTAAGACACTAAAATAGACCTGAAAATGATCACTAAAATAACAACACAAAGAGTTATACGTAATATAACAACAAAAGACATAAAATAAAATCATGTAAAATTATCAATCCAAAAGAAGGAAGAGATAGGAAAGTGGGAACAATGAACAGATGGGACAAATACAAAACAAATAGCAAGACAGCAAATCCAAGCCTAAACCTATCAATAATCAATTTAAATGTCTATGGCCTAAACAATCCAGTAACAGATGCAGATTGTCTGTTCAATAAAAAACAAAACATCTATAATCTGTTTAGATTTCTTATAAACATTTAAAATATAAGGACACAAATAGGTTAACATTTTAAAAGATATCATGAAACACATGGCAAAGTAAAGCTAGAATGGCTACAATAACATCAAAGTAGATTTCAGAGCAAAGATTCTTGTCAGTAATAAGGAAGAATATTTCATGATGGCAAAAGGGCCAATTCATCTACAGGACATACTTTAAAATGTTTATACACACAATAAAACATGTTTAAGATATATCAAACAAAAATGAAAGAAATGCAAGGAGAAAGGCAAATTCCCAATCATAACGTCAAATATAAAAATGAATGAAATATAAAAATACCAAAATAAAACTTTTCAAAGTCTATCTAAGTGCTTACAATACAGAACTCCACACCCTATCTAGTATCTGCTAACACTGTAGGGCAGCCCCAAGCAATTACTGCTTTCAGAAAATAGCACAGCTTTTTGATAACTCGGTAAAACTATCATTTAAATACACTTCTGAACATTCTCAAGGTAAAATTCAAAATGAAATTTTGCCCTATTCAGAATTCCTGTCAAATACGTGATCCAAATTGCACCAAAGATGGCAATAGTTCTCAAGTGAACACACTTCCATCACTGTCAGATTCTGCTTCAACTCTGCTGATTTAATAAAGGTCTAAGTAAGATACTCAATAGTCATCCATGCTGATTAGTGCGGCGAATCAACATTTTCATTTCTAAGGTAAGAGCTAAAAGTCACAGTAAAACATAAGAGAGATAAATTAGCTATTTAACAATCCCCTTACCATCCTCCATACTAGAGGCACAAAATATTCATCTATTTTAAAACACAGTAATACTGCCATGTGTTTATATCAATACTGGGTGAAGTATTACTATAACTTCTTTACATATCACCTTCTTTAACCTCACAAAAACTGTTTGATTCCTTTTTTACAGATGAGAAAGCCATGGCTCAAATGGCTTAAGTATAACTGTGATATTGCAGTCTCATAAGTGGTATAGCCAGTATTTATTCACCAACACATAGAGAAAAACTGATCTCCTGAACTACCACCAGAGTCTGTGTGATAAGTTACAGGGCCATTGGAACAAGATGCCTTCCTTTTACAGAATGGAAGAAGGGCTATTGTAGAAGGAAAGGTGGAAAAAAATGTATGACATTAGGTCAATCATATTTTAGGAAAGAATACACACAAAAGTTGGGTGTATTGCAAATTCTTTGTGTATGAGAGAGGACTAAAAAAAAAAAGAAATTATCTTTTGGAGGGTGGGCCCCTTGTAGTACAGGCTTCCCCTACTGGGTAAGTATTCTAGGAACTCATATGCACCCATGCATCAGCCAGCGTTGTTGTGAGAGTTGTGTTAGGCCTCAGTGAATTTTTCTAGAGACTCAACGCGTTTGTCCATTTCATGATGCACCTGCCCAACCTGCTCTTATGGGTGCACCTGCCCAACCTGCTCTGAGTGTTCAGTAGTTTTTGACCAAAAATGGCATGACCCCGATCTTGCCCTAGTGACTTTTTTTTGTTTCCCTGGATGAGAAAAGTCCTTAAAGGAAAATGTTTTGCTGATGTGAAAAGCTGAAACAAAAAACTGCAGAAGCACCAAAAGTCATCAAAATGGAAAGTTCAAAAACTTCTGAGCAGTGGAAAAGGTCTCTTAACAGGTGTATTGCATCAAATGGAGAATACTTTGAAGGTGACTGAAGTTTAAACATATAAGAGTAAATATAAAATTTTTAAGACATAAATTCTGAGTTTTTTGGGATCACCCCTTGTATTTATTGGTGTCCATATGTACTTCGAAGATGACTGAGTTAATCCATGCCAGGCATTTGGTAAATGTTCAGGAGATGAAGATGATGACAGAGAAGGAATGTATTAACCAACTGATGCTTATATGCTGGTCATCATAAAAACTGCATTTTTCTATATGAACACAAACCAACTGACATACCTTCTTAGTCAGTCTCAGTCTCTCTCTCTCCCTCTTTCTTTGTATCAAAGTCTCACTTTGTCACTGGCTGGAATGCAGTGGTACAATCACAGCTTACTGCAGCCTTGACATTTTGGGCTCAGACAATGCTCCTTCCTCAGCCTCCTGAGTAGCTGGAACTACAGGCTCACATCACCATGCCCTACTAATTTTTTTTTTTTTGGTAGAGACAGGGTCTCACTATGTTTCCCAGGCTAGTCTCAAACTCTTGGGCTCAAGCGATCTTTCTGCCTCAGCTTCCCACAGTGCTGGGGTGACAGACATGAGCTACTATGCCTAGCCCAACCTGGTTTCCACTGCTCTCTAAACTTAAGTTTTGCTGTAAAACTTGATCCCCCTTCAGGCTTCTGACCAATAAGGATTCTGGACCTGCAAAGCTGAGGATCTGACCATACGTTATATAGCTCCTGACACTATCACATCTGTAATGACAGCACAGTTTTTACTAAATATACCTTGTATGCTAATTGTCTCTCCCCACCAATGTTTAAATTCACCTGAGTTAACTGGACTCTTGCACATATGTCTAGTTAATGCACATAAATCTTTTAAAAACAACAAAAAAGATGAATATCTAACATTCCTTAAATCTCTTTATAAAGAATCATTAATAAAAAACAAAAAAACTCAAAACCCAGTGTGAAACTTACTTATAATTGTAAATTATATTTTTTAAAAGGTGTTTATATTTGTTACTTGTCTTTGCATCACTCTCAAGCAATGACTTTAACTATTAAATGATTGCAACTAGTGAAGAAAGTTAGTTTCTTTCGAGATCAGAGTAACTACATACAATGCAAGCATTATGGCTAGCCTTGCCTTTAACGGTCCTGATCAGCACATCCCAGCCTTGGGTTCCCGTTCTGTCACAGAGAATTAACAAGAGGGGTCCCACTGGTGTTTGAATTAGGTGCCTTCATTCCCCATACATATTATTCTATTTCATACAGCATCTCTCTGACGAAATCAGGCAACTTCATGTCACAGGAAACGGATTGTCACAGTACAACGCTAAGTTTTTTCCAGCACTCCTTATGAAGCCATTGTGACATGTAGGAGAAGCAAGCCAAGAGATGCTATATGTGCAGCCTGTCAGGATGTGGGTGGTCAGAGAGCAAGTGCCTCACAAATCCCCCTCAACTGGGAACCCAGTGCCTGCTTTCTCCAGTGGCTCCTGCTTCTTTTTGAAGACTAAACTCTGAGAAAGAGAGCCATCACAGTTGGGAAGGTGAGCCTGGGCCAGAGACACAGAGCCAACAGGTAAACAAAGCCATCTGGCTCAAAACCTTCTTACATACAGTACACAGAGATGGAATACTTAGGAAACTAACTTTTAGTTTTGAAAATAAATCTTTTGCTATTTCAGCAACAGTGGTGATGATTT